ATACCAGGGGCATCTCATGGGGCCCTCTACTGACCCCGGGCCCTCGGGCAGTGCCCGACTTTCCAAATGGTCAGTCCGCCCCTGCTATGGTATGCCATATTATGCAATTTATATCAAGAAAGATGCTGGAGAAATAACTACAATTCTCAGATACATAAAGTAAATGATAAAATAATCCATTGTAAAATGTATGTCTGTGATATAGATTTTAGATGACATGCTTAAGGTTTCCTGGTGATTATGACAGAATTACCTTAATGGATGCAATCAAAAATGTTTCCTACTGTCCAGTTACTTTACTGATATCTTGCAGTTGACAATATAAGTAGTTGGGACCATAAAACTGCTGCTTATCAACTGGTGCTCATCTTTATGTAGGCTAATAACCTTAGTGTGCAAATGCAACAAAAAAGACAACCAAACCATCAGACAGCATGCCATGAATGCAACAAAATGACAAACCAGAACATCAGACAACTGCACAATCCTTCAGATTAAAACTTAGACTTGACCGTTCATAATCAGTGTTTTTCAATTATAAGTAGGTATCTAAACACTGATCAGTGTTCATAGTTAAAGAGTATCTGTTACTTTGTTTATTCAGAGCAAGTGACAGCTCCTCTCATAAAAATAACACCCTAACCATTCAACTTAATAAAGTGCCTTAATCAATAAAGTGCATCAATCCAACAGTAAACAGTAAGAACAATGAGAATCTCTGTGCAATAAAGTGCATTAGACCAACACAAAAATATAAAAGTCCCCTTAAATAAAATCAATATCATTGCAGAGAGGAGTTGCCTTGGTATGGTATGGTATGGAGTATGGAAGTGATAAGAACTCTGGCATGGGGTATGGCGGTGATCAGGATGCTGGTATGGGGTATGGGGGTGATCAGAATGCTGGTATGGGGTATGGTGGTGATCAGGATGCTGGTATGGGGTATGGCGGTAATCAGGGAGCTGGTATGGTGTATGGCAGTGATCAGGGCACTGGTATGGTGTATGGAGGTGATTGGGGTGCTGGTATGGCATATGGCGGTGATCAGGGTGCTGGTATGGCATATGGCAGTGATCAGGGGGTTGGTTTGGGGTATGGCGGTGATCAGGAGACTGGTAAGGCGGTGATCAGGATGCTGGTTTGGCATATGGAGTGATCAGGATGCCGGTATGGGGCATGGCGGCAGGGGCGGACTGACAACTCATCCGGCACCCGGGCAATAGGGGATCATGGGGTCCATGTGTCCTTGCCCAAACTCAAAACGCCTATGAAAAAAGGTACCAGGGGCATCTCATGGGGCCCCCTACTGACCCCGGGCCCTCGGGCAGTGCCCGAGTTTCCAAATGGTCAGTCCGCCCCTGCATGGCGGTGATCAGGATGCTTGTATGGGGTATGGCGGTGATCAGGATGCTGGTATGGGGCATGGCGGTGATCAGGATGCTTGTATGGGGTATGGCAGTGATCAGGATGCTGGTATGAGGTATGGTGGTAATCAGTGAGTTGGTATGGTGTATGGTGGTGATCAGGGCACTGGTATGGTGTATGGAGGTGATCAGGGTGCTGGTATGGCATATGGCAATGATCAGGGTGCTGGTATGGCATATGGCAGTGATCATGGTGCTGGAATGGCATATGGCAGTGATCAGGGTGTTGGTTTGGGGTATGGTGGTGATCAGGACATTGGTAAGGCGGTGTTCAGGACATTGGTATGGTGTATGGGGGTGTTTTTTGTGTACACTGGGACAGGTGACAGGGGTTGGCTGCATGTTTTATTGTATATATACTGGGGCAGTGATCAGGGACACAGAGGCAGTGATCAGGGACACTGGAGTGGCTGGCACAGCAGTCTGTGAGTGTACAAGCAGCCTGACAAGCTGCTGTAAACTCACACACTGCAGGATCGCTTCTCTCTGCAGAACAGAGAGAAGTGATCTTTACTTTCACTTTCCATTGTTTACTATGTGAGTGCTGTGATTGGTCACAGCAGCCACATGGTAAAACACCATGTGATCGCCAGGACACAGTGGTAATGTGATCCGCTGTGTCCAATCGACATGCTGATCACCAGGCTCCGGGGTGCACACTCTGTGAGCCGTGCAGGAGCCATAGATGCAGACTGATGTACAGGTACATTAGCCCACATCGGCAAAGCTTCCTGTCCGCAGTCTATGTAGAATGGGCGGACAGGAAGAGGTTACCCAAAACATTAGGCTTTGCATTAAGGAATAGGAGTACCCCTTAAAATTATTTAGATATGGGGTATCCCTTTTAGTTCAGTTCCACCTAAATTACAGAATGGACTGTCCCTTAATTCAGTTGGGTGTGCTTTAAGAAAGGAGGAGTGAGTTTGAACAGCTTTGAATAGCAATATCCACTGAGGAAATATGCAGGGTAATAACTATAATAGAAACTGGTAGGCTTAAAAATGGTTAACAGGGTAGTGGCATTTATAGAGTATAAAAGGAGCAAAGTGTAGCAAGATGGTCCCACCCTGATGAAGTCACAATGACGAAATGCATTGGGCGATGCTTAGCATGTCACTTCCGCTTTCATACTTCTGGTCCTTGGAGTGCAGAAGGCTCCAGGAAGTGTTTACATGCACTTGAGCTTGTGATATACAAGCAGTATATTGGAGTAAGTGTATTTTGATTGTTTTTAACTACAAATAACTACAGATTTAGACTATTGGAATCTGCCTCCTGGTTTCTTCCATTACATGCATGCTCTTAAGGAGAGGTTTAGAGAGGTGGGCCAGCTGAGCAAGTCTGGAGGAACTGCTGGAGGTGAGATACAGTATATCTTAAAATGCTAGTGACCTGCCTATAATCTATAAGGGGTCAAGGAACTCTGGGTGAGTGTGATGTTTAGGAGGGGAGCACGATTGAACGCAGAAAATAAGTGAAGACACAGAATATTGCTTTGCACTTTATTGGATCACTTTTATTTGGCGCAATAGATATTTGCACAGCACTTTATTGCACAGAGACGTTTATATTTTTATTGTTGGATTAATGCGCTTTATTTCATAGAGATCCTCATTGTTCTTACTGCTTACTGTTGGCTTAATATACTTTACTGATTAAGGCACTTATATTGGTATTGTTAAATAGTGGAAGTGGTTCTGTAGCACTTCTAGAGTCACACCACATACATTTTATTTTTATTTGCAGTTATATCCTATTCATAGGATATAAACATGGTGGAAGCAGCTGCATTTGTTGAGGGGTCCATAACATGGAGTATTGAGCTTACTGACCCCAACCACTGTTATTTATTTCTGTCAAGCCCAACAGCTCCATTGCTGAAACTTGCAATATATACCTGGTCCTTCCTGGGTATGGAGGAGCATGCAACCTACTCCAGAATGCAGTGCTTGGGTTTCAGCAGACAGTCATTAGGTCTGAACATTATGGATGATGAAATTAGCCCTTTAAGCTGTGATAGCATATGATATGGAGTTCACACAGAGTTTGGTCTATTGACTTTAATGGAGTAATGCAGTGGTGGGGAGTACAGTAAGGTGAATATCAGTGGATGAGAGTTGTTTTTACAAAATTACCTGTTACTTTGCCCATTCAAAACAAATGTCATGAAAAGGGTAAACTGTTTCATAAAGTATATAAACAATAATATATATCCACTTCTCAAAATAATACATTACATGCCTTCTAAAAAGAAACTAGTGTAAAAGTCTGAAACTGTCTTAATATCTGCCTCCACTAATCTATTGATACTCAGAAAGTAGACGGGGCAAATATAGGGATTCAATCAGTCTCTATAATAGTTATCATAAGCTGACAGAGACCATGATGGCACAAGACAAAAGCATTCTTTTTTTAGCATAAGAGCACTGAACCTTAAATTGTTGTAACATGATACAGTCCTGGAGGCCATTCTCCTGTAACTATGGTGTCCTGCTGGATCTTTGGATAAGATTACCAAAAAAACTGAAGAAATGAGAGATCCACACTTTGTACAATCCATAAAATATTTTACAAAATAATTTATTCTGCAACAAAAGCCAGAATAATCTCTTTTGTGGATTGTACAAACCTATGTGACACTACCAGCCATTAGATTTTTAGAAGAAGAAAGCAGACACAGTAGAGACAAAACTGTGCTAACATCCAGCCCCCAGTCTGGAGAAGGGGTACAGTAAAATAACTAAGTACATAATAATGCAGATACTCTACTAAGTGGCAAAATAATAATTTAAAGTGTTACTAAACCCACAACAGTAAAATCAGCCTGTATATGCAGTAAAGCATGTTTGTTATACTCACTGTTGAACCTTAGGGTTAATCCTCTGCATTGTGTAAAAAGGCCATTTGATCCTTTCTTTTCTGTTCCTCCCCTTTTTTCAAGCAGCCACCTCTTATCTCCTGATAAGACAGACTGAACCATAGGCATTTGCACATACTCAGATTGGTGTGTTTTGCTAGAGAGGTTTTTTTTTTCTCTTGGGAGAGTGCATGTGATCAGCACAGGGCCAATTAGCACTGGTCAGACATAGGTCAGGGGTTTTGCATCCTCCTAGAGAAGAAAGAAAACTCCTCCTACATATAGATAGATAGAAGCCGCAAGACTGCTCTAACTTCTGATGAGAAAAGGTCTTTAGCAGTTTATTTTACTGTGTACTGTGGGAGACCAGATATAGTGGATGCAGGGTCCTGGGTTTAGTAACACTTTAATATTAAATTATTATTTTGTTACTTAGTAGAGCATCTGCATTATAAGTATAAATGAGTTACAGAAGTGACTATATAGCTTCAGTCTTCTTTGCAAATTTACAAAGTTATAATATTAGCATGTAATTAAGCGGATTACATGAAAAAGTAAATTTACAACTATGTTGTTAATTAAATAATGTGTCTGTAAGTCCAAGGTATGTCTCACAGTCTCTGAAAATATATATCATGATTGAAACAAGAGAATGATTATTATTCATATATAGCATATATAAATTGCTTAGTGCAATCAATTTAGTCTGTTTTTATTACCTTTGCAGTGGTTTTCATCCCAAGGGTACACACAATTCTGAACTCCATTGCAGACCAATGTATTATTAATGCACATATTACTATGACAAAAAAATGAATTTGCTTCACATGGGGCTAGAAAAAAAAGAGAAACAACATTTAATGTTTTAATTTTGAGGGGAAATTCTGTTATCTATGACAACAATAAAAAGCCTTATGCTGTATTTAGCATTTTTACAAATTTTTTATGAACTTACATTCAAGTGGAAATGTTGATTCTAATAAACATTTTGCTATCCATAGAGAAATACGTTCCTATAAATTCCCAAACCTTAACATAGCTTGAGAAATTGTACTAATTAACATTTACCAAGATTAATATTATTTTCAATACATATTTATTGTAACATTTACCTGAAGGCAATTTTGACAAGAGTTTATATTATTTCACATACTGATTTGTAAGTACTACCTCTAGTGACCACCTACTGGGGACTATATTTAGCAATCCTTGCCTAATGAGTTTTGAAATTAGTTAATCTTATAAATGTTCTGTTGTTTTTTTTTTTCTGTCAGGTTAGGCTTCACCCATACAAATGCATTAATGAAAATAGAAGCTGAACACAGGGGTCGTGTTGTACTATTAGGAGTATGAAGTGGGGCCTGCAAATGTAAAGGACAAATATGGTTGACCTATTGTATACACACAGTATAACATTGTACATGATTAAAAAACACTGATAACATTGCCTTACATTGCTATAAGGTATACCTGTAAAAGAAGAGATTGGAGTTTGTCCTATACTGTAACAGTAAAGTCCCATAATGTTCTTTCTTGGTAAGTTTGTCCTATACTGTACCAGTAAAGTCCCATAATGTTCTTTCTTGGTAAGTCTGTCCTATACTGTACCAGTAAAGTTCCGTAATGTTCTTTCTTGGTAAGTTTGTCCTATACTGTACCAGTAAAGTCCCATAATGTTCTTTCTTGGTAAGTTTGTCCTATACTGTACCAGTAAAGTCCCATAATGTTCTTTCTTGGTAAGTCTGTCCTATACTGTACCAGTAAAGTCCCATAATGTTCTTTCTTGGTACGTTTGTCCTATACTGTACCTGTAAAGTCCCATAATGTTCTTTCTTGGTACGTTTGTCCTATACTGTACCAATAAAGTCCCATAATGTTCTTTCTTGGTAAGCTTGTCCTATACTGTACCAGTAAAGTCCCGTAATGTCCTTTCTTGGTAGGTTTGTCATATACTGTACCAGTAAAGTCCCGTAATGTTCTTTCTTGGTAAGTTTGTCCTATACTGTACCAGTAAAGTCCCATAATGTTCTTTCTTGGTAAGCTTGTCCTATACTGTACCAGTAAAGTCCCATAATGTTCTTTCTTGGTAAGTTTGTCCTATACTGTACCAATAAAGTCCTGTAATGTTCTTTCTTGGTAAGTTTGTCCTATACTGTACCAGTAAAGTCCCATAATGTTCTTTCTTGGTAGGTTTGTAGTACCAGTTTGTTCCTATTTGCCCACTGTCCCAGTAAAGTCCCAAATGTTCTTTTCCCATTACTTTCCCAGTAAAGTGTGCCATAACATTCTTTCTTGGTAAGTTTGTCATATACTGTCCCAGTAAAGTCCCATAACATTCTTTCTTGGTAAGTTTGTCATATACTGTCCCGGTAAAGTCCCATAATGTTCTTTCTTGGTATTCCTACAGTTGTTTATTAGCGATGAGGTACAATCAGTCTACAATATAATATTCATGTAAAAGAAGAGAGTAAATAGCTATATTTCCTGCCACTCACTTTTCCAAACACCACTCTATTCATAAAAAATCTTTTCCTGAATTCCACTGGGAAAATGACATTTCCAGGAGTGTCATTTCATTTCAGTACAATACAGAAGAGAAGCCAAAGAAAATATGTAAAAACAAATAAAGCAGACCACTGCTTAGCCGAAGAGGCCCAATCACGTATATACAACAGTAATTTGAAAGGCATCATATGGTACTGGATTTGCTATGTTAGAAGAGATAAGAGAGAGCAGATAGAACTCAGCAGCTCTCACTGGTTTCTTCTGCTAACCTCATAGCAATAAGGCAATTGCAACTGCAGTTCAAGGCAAAAGTTAAATCAGGTACAGCTTAGCAACATTTAGCCTTAATAGATATTGCTTTAAGACAGAAACTCTTCACTTTTTGAGTAAAGGTCAGCTTTACAACCAGATGACATCTGCTGCAGCATGCCTGAACTTAAGCCCCAGATTATCTCGTCTCAACAAGGAGTCCATTTTTCAGCAGGGACTAGGAAATGTTGTGTAGTCAGACATGTTGAGGTCATTTCAAACTAGATAAAACCAGCAGGAAACAGAAATGTAGTAAGGAAGAGTTGCCCAAGGTTATGCCAAAGGCAACCAGAACTAAGCATTAAGAATAAAGATGTAGCCAGTCCATAAGATTAGAGCTCAGAATAAGGATGTAGTTAGGAAAATAATAAAAGTCAGTGCAGAAAGAGTACTAGCTGCTATAAGTCACACCAAGCAAGCAGTTAGATTAGGAATCTAGCAAGTTAGGAGTTAGCAGGTACACCGAGATAAGGCTTAGAAACATAGCAGGCTCTAAGCAGACTGAAAGCAAGTAAAAATAAAGAGAAAAATTAGAAAGTTTCAGCTATGTATGGGGAACAGGATCTAACCTAGGCAATATGAAGACTGTAAAGGGAAACTCTATTTTGGAGGTTGGTGTTGGGTAGAGGTAAGGGTGGTGGGTGGTATTATAGGTATACATAAACAAAATATTTTAAAAACTCCATACCAGGGAGCTGACAATACTGGGACCATGTTTGTTGAGTTCTAATATAAAATGTAATAGAACAATAATAATAATAATTTGAATTGAGCAAATTTATTAAAATTTGATCTGTTGGTGAATCCCAAGACAAATTCCCTTGAAGAAAGTAAATAAGGTTTTGGTGGAAGACAGCACTGGACTGGTGCCGTTGGAGACTGCCTAGCTGCAGATTACTGTGTGGAGGGTATAAAAGGAATTGCTTCCAATAGGTTATATCCCAATTGTAGGTGGTAAGTGATAGACTCCTTTCTGATAATGACAATGGGGGCATTATGGCCAGGTACACTTGATTGGAAAGGAGCACCCAGTGCCCAGAAAAATGTCCTAGTTGATGATTTTTATAGTTGTATATTGAAGATAAAAAAATGAAGCCAATGTGTTTTGGGGTAAAAATCCATAGCCGGTCTATAAGATTAGTACAAAGTTGAAGAAAGAACACCACAGCAAAGCAATGTGGACTTCCAACTCTAGGGGACTATCAGTCTTGGAAACCTGGCTAATGTGCCATGACTGAAAAAAAGAGATACTTATTTTTAGATTTAAAAAAACAATCTTTAATTTGACAAGGCAGTGGCATTTTTTTCTTCTTTTTCCTTAAAAAAGGATCTTTCGACAGGCCGGAAAAAAACACTTTCGAAAATGCCAAACTTAGATACATAAAGAATGGTCTCTGATTTTTGAGAAAAGAAGAGGAATGTTTGTATAGATCAGAAACTTTTCTTGCAAAGCAGGAAAGGTTTCAAAGAAATAGAAGCAATCTTTTTTAAAGAGATTGTGGAAGTGCGACGAGATGTCTCCACTGTGTATCATTACTGCAGGTCAACAACCTGACCCTGGAAAATGATAAAAATCGTTTTTTTTTTTTTTATATTATACTTGCTGCTTGTTATCTGATCTGTATTTGTGGGGGAATAATGGCATGTACCTGATTATACAGCATGTGATTCGAAAAACATAACATGTAACCAGCAATATCAATCACTGAACATCATTTTGTATTTACCTTGTCAGCAGTCTCTGCAGTATAAAAATATAGGGAATTATGCCATTTAAGAGTATTTATATTTGGTTTTAACTTTTCTAAAAGTCAGAGATATCAAACCAGATGTAAAGATTACTTTTCAAACATTTTATAGTCCAAAATACAGTAGGTCATATTTTTAAAGAAAAATTTCTAGTTCTTCTAACATATGTAAATAGTTTTGGTTGTGTCAGTAAGTGAACAATACAATGATCCGCCACAAGCAGAAAAATAAATCATGTGCTCTCTATTTTGTGCATCTGCACCCCATAGTTTAGTCATTCATCACTGTCTTTTTTTTTCAAAGTTAAGGTGTCATTTTTGTTGGTATTTATTTTTGATCTGTTGCCAAAGTTAGAAAATGTTTTTTGGTTTCTGCACATTTTAGATGCAGCTTTTCTTGCTCCTTCAGTGGAAGGAATTGAGGTTAATGGTTCAGTGTTTTCCCTGTTGATACAGCGAAAACAGGAAAAATAACAGTATTGTCAAGGAGTGTGGTGCTGTTTTATATTTATTATGTCCTCTGACACTGGAGCACATATGCTTTTATGGTGAGGTTGCCTCTGTATTGGCTTCTTGTAGGCTGATATGGTTTAAAACAGCATAAGTCAATTTTTTGCAGGTACGGAGCATTAAACGTTTGCAAACTTCTGCTCCTTCCTGATGTGGATGGAAATCAGAATGTCACTTTTTGAAATTTAACAATGAACCTTTGTAAGCAAAAAGGACCATTGCAATGCTTTACATGTTTTTAACGTTATTTTTTATTTGCAAAAATTTCACAAAAGCGGCAATATCATTAATCAGGCTGGTTTAATGTGTTCAAACTGCAAGTAGTGATTTGAACAGCAGATGGCAGCATTTGATCATAAAGCAGCATTTTGTATCAAAATATATGATTTATACAGATATCAGATATACAGTGTAATTGATTTTCTGTATTTTGGTGTACATACACACGTGTGTGTGTGTGTGTGTGTGTGTGTGTGTGTGTGTGTGTGTGTGTGTGTGTGTAAAATATATTATTAAAATAATAGTCTAAAAATTACCATAGTGGTAAAATATCTTGTCTTCATCTTAGTCTGCAAACACAGGACTTTTTAGGAATATAGACTACGAGGTTTGATGCTCATAGCAAGGTCATATTCATGTCTATATGAGTTTTTCAATACAATACAGAAGAGAAGCCAAAGAAAATATGTAAAACAAGTAAAGCAGACCATTGGTTAGCCGAAGGGGCCCAATCACGTATATACAACAGTAATTTGAAAGGA